CACCACTGTGGCATTCTTGACAAAAACATACCACTGCAGCCTAATCATGGAAAAATGCCTGACAAACCCAAACTGGGGCAGTCCACCAAACCCCCAACTCTCCTCAAGTGTGTTAAGGTCATAAAACACGAGGAAAGACAGAGGGACGGTCACAGATTAGGGGCCAAGGAGACATGACAGCCACACACAACATGGGGGAAGCTGGATCCCAAACAAGGACCGCAGAACAGAAAAATACATCAGTGGAAAAACTGGTGACGTCAAATAAAGTCTGTAGTTTGGTCAATAGTTTGGATGTTAATTTATTAGTTTTATTTTTAATATATTAGATGTTGACAAACAGGTAGCTGAGTTAAGGGTATACATGAATTCTTTTGCAAGCCCAAAGTTAGTTCAAAACACAAAGTTCAAATTAAAAGGTAAATGTAATCACAGCTTCTTGGTTTATTATCTTGCCTCAGAGTAATCAAAGAGAGCTAAAATCTCCTTTTCTAGCAGGGAAGGAGACATTCAGAATGATCTGAGGACCAGCGATGGATGGGAAAGGAAACAATGCAGCAGGCAATGGGCAGTCCGACAGAATGCCCCTTAGACCACAAGGCTACGGGAGTGATTTCATGATCTTTTTTACTGAGTTCCTTTGGAGGTGATTTTTCTTAGGATTAGCATCCTAGCTTACAATTACAGGTATGATAATACCTACAAATTAAGTTATTTCTCCTGAGAATGCATTTCAAAGAGGAGAGTTTGGGACTTTTGCTCATTTGAAACATTCTCTACAGACACGTTCAGATTAGACTGGGGTGAATGTGACCCACTGGGTCCAAAATATGATATACCATGAACTTCAGGAGAAGCAGGCAGGTGAGGGGCTGGATGGTGAGCAGTAGGTAAGAAGCACTGTGAAAGAACAGAGAGATGAGGCCTGCTAAGTGCCCTCCGTCAGGACCAAGCCCCAAAGCTAACCTGGGCCACTGGACAGCAGTAATAGAGGGGACATGGTGCAAAGCAGTCATTCTCAATATTGATCTGGGCACTAGTGGCTTGGCCACCTTCTTATGATCTTGGGCAAGTCACTTAGAGCCTCTGGGCTGGTCACCCCCCCTTGTAAAATAGGAGTTTGGACTGTACTACATGCTTCCCCTCTACCAATCCTTAGCTCCTTGGTCGGCAGGGTAGTAGTGACACCATTGTATGGATGCTAAGACTTCAGGAATGCTCATTAGGTGCCAGACTCTGTACTAAGTACCCTCTTTGCTCACAAGTCTATAGGTGAATACTGTCATTATTCCATTCTGCAGGGGAGGAAACAGAGGTTTGCAGAGGTTGAAAGACCATGGGGGGTACAGGCGGCTTGATTCAAGAGGACAGTACCTTGGCTGTGGAGCCGCGTGGGTTACCCAAGTCTAGACAAGGATAGGCACCAAGGGACTATTGCTCTGCCTGGCCCAGCCGCCTCTGGAGGCTCCTAAGCACTGGTTTTGGTCAGTTACTGTGCACTGGATATAAATGGTTTCCTTTCATTCTCAGTTCCCTGAGAAGCAGATGCTATTATGAACATATAAGGACTTTTGGGAGCCTGCTCAAGGTTACACAGCTACAAGGTGATGAAACAGTGATTTCAACTCCAGGTTCTGCTTCTGACTCCAAGGCTGTATTCTTTCCACTCTACTGAATGCAGGGGCAAGTGTAATTTCAGATGCTCTCTTAGGATCCCGTTGAAAGTGACGACTCTAAGCATGCGGCTCCTGGCTCCAAAGGACAAGGCCTACAGATGACTGCCCTTGCGGTTCCCAGCAGGGTTCCTGTCCTGAGTGCAGAGAGGAATCCTATTATCCTCCCCCATCCGCCCTCCCTAGGGGTCTCTGCTGCCAAAATGGCTTGCCCCTGCCTACAAACCCTAAACAACTTTTGTCCCAAATAGATGCCTCTTACCAAGCGGAGGTCAGCGTCAGCACTCCCTGGCTGAACTGCAAATTCAGAATGGTACATTGCCACATTTCTCCATTGACCTAGTCATCACAGCAAAACAGGATATACATTTACATGACATAAACTGTTCTTACAGAACTGTGCCCATGCCAGCCCCATGTGCTTCCCTAATTTCTCACAGCCATCCACTCAATGACTTAATCTGGAAATCTGCCAGGGATCAACAACACATTTATTGACTGGTACCAAAGAGAACTTTCCCCCTTTTGAAAATGAGGACAGTACCTGACAGTCATTTCGTGTTATCTTTTGCTCTTACATGACAGAGATAGCATGAGACCACTTACAGCACAATAAACCTGTTTCGATAACCCAAGAGTGTCTTAAAAAAAGGAAGGGGTAAAAAAAATACAGCTAAGGTCTAACACTTAAGTAGTCATCTAGTTATTACCCTAACTTGTTGTCTAGTACACCTAGATGTAACTATTCATCATTGGTATCCTTTTTCTGGGCAACACTAATCAGAATTACTTAAATATATATGTAAATAGACATACATATGTGTGCATACACACTATTTACACATACCACATATACACACAGAATATGCATGCATAATGTGTGCATATGTATTATGTACATGTCATACACATCCTATAATAGTAACTTCCGCCAACAGTTATACTGAAGAAGACACGTGGAAAGGGAGCAGAGCGGGAACATGAGTCTCTAGGGTGTTCCCTTTACACCATCCTCCTCAGGACTCGACCTTCAACAAGTGCCTACTGGATGCAGGGCAACTGTCCTCTTTTACACACATTATGTTCTTGACTCAATTGCTCAGCAGCAGCTACCTGACTACCAAGAAAATACCTCCATCTCCAATCACCTGCCATATTCCACAAGGCCCTCAGGACGTCTCCTCTTCCACACGAAGCACTCAAACTTGTCTGGGCAGCCCCAAATTAACTTGTTACTTCTACATTCACTTAATGGCCATGTATTTTTTCATAAAGAAAAACGGGTCACATTTGCCACAGAGGAGATGAGCTGTAAAGTACAGATTATTTGGCTGTATCCAAACACCTGGCTGCCACAAATGACAGCCGCAATGTACTTCTAATGAGGGCTGGATGCAGACCCAGATGAAGATGCCTAACCCGTGAATTTCCTCAAGTTCTCGGAAAGGACCACAAATGCTTAATATGAGCAGGAAAGAATAAGCCATAACAACTGCCTATCTCCCCACTCCCAAACGGTGAACACAAATGCTACTGTGGCAAATCAGGCCCAGAAAATTTAACATTTTTTTAAACAGTGAGGCCTGTGCTTTTTAAACTAGTCAACTGAAGCTGCTAAAGGAGCCTCACAAATCCCTGTAGCCGGGAGGTTAGGCAAAGGCTGAAGCACCTGAGGAGCCTGCTTGGTGGGCAAGCCGTCCCCAGCGTGAGGAGATCAGAGGCCTGCTGTTCACAACTGTGAATGGAGGCGAAACAGCAGAGAACCTGAGGCAAGGGGTGTCATCACACCTCTCACCTGATTTCTTTGTGAAATGAATACTGCCATGTATACAGCATATTGGAATGCAGACCCGGCAAGAAGTCTAGCACCAGAGTAAAGCATTCATTGGGTTAAGTTACTCAGAGCACAAAACCGGTCATTTTCAGAGCTGAGAGACAGGCAGCCCTACATCCTCATTTATATTTATTAATAATAATATATTGAGCACCTACTCAGTGCCTGGCTCTGTGCCAAATGCAAATGCACATTGTTATTAGAATGCATGTATCTTTCCAATTTAACGCCTGTTTTGATGGAGGAAATTGAGACTCAGAACATTCAGCAATTTGCCCAGGACTCATAGTTTGAAGGTGGCAGGGTCAGACTTGATCCCACAGCTCCACCCCATGACCACAGCGGGGCATCACTGGGGCCCTTCCACTGGGGCCTGGAAGGGCTCGCTGTAGCCAAGTTCCAGGGGCTTCCGGTCAGGGCTCTTGTAAGTGCCACTCATCACTTCAATTACTGTTGAGTCTGCCTGGCTGGCAGAAATGGAAGGAAAAAGAAAAGGATGCATCTGGGCAGATGTTCCTTCCTATTAGACCGTAGCGCTGGGCGCCCTCACTTGTCCACTAGCTTTCAGCTGATCAACAGAAAGAAGCAAGACCAGGAGGAGGCAGACCCCTCCATGTGGCAGGTGCTGACCAGGTAAGCCAGCTCACACCCCGAGGGACGCTCCTCGCACATTCCCTCCCTCCCGGTGGACTCATTTGCCCACAGGCACCTCAGCAAAGGCTGATTAAACCCCGCTGAGGTTTTGATCCAGCACCCAATATAGTACATTTATGTAAATAAACACTATGAGAATCCCCATTTCCAGCAGCCAGGCAGGATCCCCAGAGCAGCGGCCTGGCGGCTTTGTCAGGGTCAATGGGCAGAAGCAATGACAGGTGCAGAAAACTGGAGACCACAGCTTCTGTCGTTCAAGTCGCCCCCATGTAACACAGGGAGGCAAGAGGGAAACCCGGCTGCTCCCTGCACCTCCAGAAGGCAATGGAAAGGAAAACTCCTGTGGGGGTAGCAGCCTCCAGCCCTCGCCGTGGGCTGAGGGCAGGGGCAAGGTCTCTGCCCTCCTCCCCAAAACACCCGTGCTGTCAATTCAGGCCTGCCTGTGACCCGGAATTTGAACTCTCCAATTCCCGAAGCTCCATGAAACAACAATTACAGCAGCAAAACATTCCCTGCATGGGGCGGCCGGGCAAGGGGCGCAGGGCTGTAGCCCTGCTAGGCCCCCAGGAAACGAAAAACCTACCTGGGTCTAGGATTCGGCCTTCCCAGATCTTCCCCTGCCCTGAGCACTCGCACGCTCCACACCCACCCCTCACACGCCTCAACAGCCGCCGCAAACCCGGCCCGGCACGCGCGCCCCAGCCCCCGACACCCGCACGCTCGCTCGCGCGCGCGCCCCAGACCCGCCCGGCACACATGCCCGCTCACCCCGCCCCCGCCCCTCCCCAGCTCCCTCGGCCCGCCGGCACGGTCCGCGCCCCGCCGTCCTGCGCACTCACCGCGCGGCGCCCCGGCCTCCGCCGCCTGCCAGCCCTGCGCCTGGGCCCGCCGCCAGCCGCCCGCTCCCGGTCGCGGCTCCCGGGCTGGCCAGGCCCCGCCGCCGCCACTTCCCGTCACGTGGGGCAGCCCGGCGCCGGCGGAGGGCGGGCGCTGCCTCCCCGCGCGGACCTACCGCCCCACGCCGCCATGCCCGTGGGGAGGGAGCGGGCCCGTGGGCCCGCGGGCAATCCCCGGCCTCGGGTCCCTCCACTCTGGGGGGATCTCGGCAGTGCCCGCCTCCGGGGCGGTTAGAGGGTGCGCTGAGTTCATTCCTGTGTGGCACTAGAGCAGTGCATGGCGTAGGGTGGATACTCAGTAAATGGCAGCGAGGACCGTGGTTGTGGTGGTTCAGGTATTTTCTCCTCCCTCGCTGGCACGTAGAGTTTCACGAAGACACGGCCTTGCCTGATTTGCCCACCACTCTATTCCTAACACCCACTCTGCGCTGGGCACAATGTAATCACACAGGAAATATCTACTGAATGAATGAATGGCTGACTCTGGGGAAAGCCTTGGCCACGCCTCACCCGACAAAGCCGGGCCTGGGGAACTGACTGGGTGTGTTCCCCGTGATACTGAAGTGTATTGTGGAGCATGAGATGCCCACCACCCCCAGCGCACAGCTAGTCCAGGACCCACGAGCTGAAAGGATGTCCCTAGGGGAAGCCGTTTATTTGCCTGACATACTCATTTAAGAAGGGTGTCCTGGGACTATTTTACTCACTCCTTTCAGGAAATTCTATTAATAGCTTTAGGTCAAGCCACCATGAAGAATCCTAGGTTACCAGGTATCAATGAATCTCTTCAATATATAGTCAAAATCCAATTTAATTTATGAAAGAATTAAGAAAGCTCCTTCCAGAGCTGTCAGCGCTCAATGCCTAGCATATAAAAAGCCGTATTTCTGAATGACTCTCCTTGACTTTAGAAGCCACCGGTACCTGCGCCCTCAGTTTTTGTCAAGCCCCTGGGGGATTGTAAAACAAAGATGTTATCCCATGCCAGGAAGCAAATCTCAAGATTCTACTCTGTGGTCTTCTGTTTCAAAGGGAGGAAAAAAAAAAAAAAAGAGCCCAAATAAGTTAAATGAAGGAGATAAAGGCCCATCAAGAATTAATCTGTGGCCTGTCTTTAGGCCCTTCCCTTTTGAGTACATGGTCACACACATGCCCAATTCCCAGACAGTGCTTCAGCTCTGACCCAGTGGACCGGCAGCTCAGCCTCCAGGCGGGGTACACCGCTCCCAGAAGTGTAAAGCTATGTCCATCAGTTGTGCTCCAAGGGCAAGCAGTAGGGAATGGACTCTCACATCGAAAGAAGCCAGAGCCAGTAAAGCCAGGAGCGGGAAGGCTCCACAGCAAATCCAGCTCAGTCTTCTCATTTTGCCCCAGCTCATAAAGATTCTGTGACTGGTCATCAGTTAACCACTGTTGAAATAAGGCTGTCAGTAATTTTACCAGCAAAATGAGTTTATTTAGGAATACCAGAGAATTTCAAGTCTAGACAAACAAGCTATGGCAAAATCATAAGCATGCCCTTGCCCAGAGAACAAAGGGGAGGCTCTTAGAGAGGAAAAGGGGGAGTGTTGGGGGACTTTTCTAAGCAAAAAGTTCACTGGAGTTAGCTGGGAGTCCCAAGTGTCACGGGTGCTCATTGGTTGGGTTGTAACAGTCTCTCATTGGCTGCTCTGTTGCCCAGCTGTTGATGGGGGAAGCAGAAACTCTTCCCTCCTTCTACTGGGTAGTAAAGTAGCCAAAATAGCATGAGCTGTATGGCGTCTGTCTCTTTCTTCCTGTTGGGTCTGCAATTGACTGAGAGTGGTGACCATGAGCACTCCCGCAGCAGGCCTCCTGATGTCATGCCAAGGAGGCTTCCCCTGTATCAGTTTTCACACCACTAATCCAGCAGGGCCTAGAATTCGTGCTCTATCATAACATCCTAGAGAGAGACAGACTAGTAGCAGAGGTGACATCTACTGAGTGCTAGACACTGGGCTAAGAGCCATACAGCGATGATCTCATTGAAGCCTCACCATCCTTACCAAGTAGGTACTATAAATTTCTCCATTTTACAGATGAGTTGATCAAGGCAGAAAAGTGAATGATTTGCCCCAAATTCCAAGAACACAGCAGGGATGAGAACCCAGAATGCAACAACACAGTACTTTTTTTTTAATAGATAAAAATGAAGTTCTATTGAATGAAATAATTTATGGAATAACATTTGTGTCCGGTTTTAAACAATCTAGGAGTAAAGTTGTGCATTAACAAAGAGGGAAAAAGAGATAACTCAGGAATAATTATTTCCATTATGAAAGGTTTACCATGGAATTCTTAAAATGGCAAGCTCCATATGTGCACACTATTCCATCTAGAAACATTTGTTCTTCCCACAATTTTCTGAGAAGTCTACTTTATATATGACTGGCATCTGTATCTAAATATCCCATAAGCATGCAACTATCTGCATCAGGGAAACTCTAAATTCCTCATGTTGTTCTGACTGGGTACATTTAAGAAGAAATAGTAAAGTCATAGTTTCTCAAAGGAATTATTAAGTAATATCATTTATTAATATTTAGTATATATCCATTGGGCTATGTTAATGGTATTTTATAGAAAATTAAAAAGATGTGTTCTCATAGATTAATGACAATTAAGAATTGAATAAATAAAAGCAAATGCTTTCATGGTTGCTGTCCACTCCTGAAACTTAACATTTGCACACTGACACATGCACACACTTACTGTGGGTTCCTTACTTCCTCACTGGCTGTTAGCTCCTGAGGGCAACAAGTGTTTATAACGTTCTTGCGGTGTCTATCCGCCAGTAGGAAGCACTCCACCAATTTTTAAAATTCCTGCTGCTCAATATTAATAAACTAGATTATCTTTAGAAGAGACTTTTATGCTAAGATTCTGTTATTCTATAAGTTCTTTGGTTAAGGGTCCAGAGCTAGCACATTTAGGTATCATTTTAGAAGATGAGGGCTTTTTTTTTAGCAAACATAGACACTACATGCCATGTTTTAAGAGCTTATATGTGTATTTGTTCATTTAATGACATATAAATGTATTCATACACTTGTAACCTAGATTCAGTAAAATAAACTTTTTTAACTGTTATTCAAATCAACTATTTCTCGAGCAGCTCCTATGTGCTGGGTTCTCTAGCACAGGATCCTGAGGATACTGAAATGAGGAAGACAGAGCCCCTGCCCTCAGCAGCTTTATTTAGTGCAATGGTTTATAAAGTATGGTTGATAATGAACATTATCAACATCACCTTGGAACTTGTTAGAAATTCCTGTGTCTCCACTTTCAACTTCTCAGCTCAGATTTTAGGGGTGGGGCCCAGCAGACTTTTTTTCACAAGCTTCCCCAGGTGACTCAAATTCTCAATTTTGTGAACCAAGTTTAATGGTATCTGTGCCCACTTAACCAGATCCTAAGGCAAAAAATAATGTGCTCTAGAGGTTTGGTGCCAGTAGAACTCAGCCAGTAAGTGTTTGAGGATCAGGAAAGGTTTACCAATTTCATTCAGCCACACTTACTGACTGGTCCTATACTGTGTGCAAGGCACTGTGCTAGGTGCTGAGAACCCAAATATGAAAGACACAGTTTCAAGGAGCTCACAAAAGAGCTGACCTATGAAAGGGGTAGTTTAAGTATGTAAATTCATCTTTATTGTGATCTCATTGTAAAAGGAATAAGAAATTTTATTATATATAATTTTAAAAATCATTATTATAGTTACAGAAGTTAGTTATTTAAAACTCAAAGTAGAACTGTGGTTCTTTCTATGCTCAGATATATTTTTGACAACTAACGATAAAATATTTGTAACATAAATCTTACATATTAAATGTCTCACTTCAGAGGGATTCCCCCCAGGCAAGTTCACTCTGGATTATGTGAGACCAAATAACAACAATGGAACATTCTTGGGGTAAAAGAGTTTATACCCAACTTAATTCTTGTGGTGGTAAGTCAAGCGTTAGAATCCTGTCCGCCTCCAGAGCAGTATGTATACAAACTGGTCTCTCCTCTGGGCTTCTCCACCGCCTCCCAGCCCCAGAGCGCTGGGCGGAGCTCTTAATAGCTCACTGGCAACCCAAGTGTGAGCCGGCACCTGCAAGCATTGGACATGCACAGCGGGCGAGTGTATCAGGGGCAAGTGAGCATCTTGGCCATAGGAACTTATGTTTTCCACACCCTCCACTCCTCCAGGATTCTCATGTCACAGTCTATGCACCCACCATCTTCTGTGACGGTCCCTGTGCAAGAAAGCTGGAGCATTGTAACCAGATTCCACAACAGCAACAGAGGCTACAAAAATATACAAATAAGGAAAATTACAATACAGATAACAAAAGAAATTATGATAATCCTCAAGCCTAAGGAGATTGATTGCCACCAAGTGACCATTCCGGCTGTATCAAACCAGTTCTACTCAGATGAGTCTATGACTCACACTTGCTGTGCTCACCCAGCAAGCAGCAGTTTTTGCTAGGATGTCTGCCCAATTCACACAGACACTAGAGGAGATTAACCTTAAGGATGATATGAAACATGTTTTAGTGACACCAACATAGGCAAAATCTTGTCCCCAAGATGCCAAGCCATCACTGGTCCATGTGTCAAAATGTCCAAGGTCACATCCACTCAATGGAATCCCCAGGGTTTATTGCAGTCAGTGCTCATAGCAAGATCATTATTTTTGGTGGCCAAACCTTGGTTTCAATGATTTCTTCTTGATCTGTACTTGAAATTGTACAGGTGAGGCACTCTCCAGTAGCCTAAAAGACCCAAAAACAATTGTAATAACGTTACAGTTGTAGGAGTAGGGAAGATCTAAAGTTTATCAATGACTATTTGTGGTATAACTTTAGTCTTACCCAACCAGACAACCCCCAAGGATTTGACTGACAAACCAGGTCCCTGAATCTTGGTGCTGTTCATCCATTCTTTCTCCTGTAGATGTTGCAGCAGTCTAGGAACTGCCCCTTCTAAATCTGCAAGAGAATCAGACGTGAGCACATTATCATCAATATAATGGTACAGCCGTACTGTTTACAGTTTCTCCCATGTTACCAAGTCCTGGGCTACAAGTCTGTGACAGATGGTGGGGCTGTGCAGGTATCCCTGTGGAAGGACAATGGAAGTCCATTGTTGTCCTTCCCACATGAAGGCAAACTGTTCCTGACTTTCCTGTTCTATGTCATGGAAAAAAAGGCATTAGCAAGATCTACAGCAAAATGATATATCCCGGCTGAGGGTGTCCATAAGTCCTGCAATAGAGGGGACAGCAGCAAGCAGAGGGGGTATGACTTTATTCAGTTCTCTGTAATCCACGGTCATACACCAGGAGCCAACAAGCTTTTTTACTGGCCACACCCGAGAATTAAAAGGACTTTGAGTGAGTTTTATAATACTCACCTTCTCTAGTTCCTGGAGGGTTTCTCCAATTTCTTTATGCCCTCCAGGCAATTTGTATTGTTTGGTATTAGTCACCCACCAAGGCAAAGCTATGGGCAGGTGCTTAACATGTCCTTTCAGAAATTCCTTCACCACACATACTCTCAGTCTGAACTCACCTGCAGTGGTCTGCAACCATAGGCCCTGCAGGATATCTATCCCCAAAATATATTCAAGGATGGGAGAGATACAAAGTATACTCCTTTGGGAGTCGATGCCCTAGTCTCAATGGGATTTGGGCTTTATCCACATATAACAGCAGGGATCCCAGGAAATCACTCAAGGGTTGCCATAAATTAGTGAGCATTCAGTTCCTGAACCTGCCAGAACCAAGACATGTTGTACATTCACTGGGGACCAATGAATTCAGATTTCAACATGTGGCCTCTGGTCCCCACCTGGCCCCCCAAAACAGGTGCCTTGACCCACCCCTCAGTCAAACCATATCTCCCTTCTATCTTCCTATGAGGGTCCAGGCCAATCTGGCTTACTGTCCAGCAGAAGTCCTGCAGATACACAGGCCAGACTTTTGGTTTTGTCTCTGGTTTCCATTTCTTGGTTCTCAGTTGCTGAAACCATTGCTCCAGTTTCAATTGTTGCTACAGCTCCAATAAGATTTTATTTGACTTCCCATACAATTTCTCATTTGCTCCTGCCTTTATTAAATCAACCCACATCTGGGTCCTCATGACCTCCATGGGACCCTATAGCTCTTCCTCTGAGTAGTGGATCTTATTTCCTTCTGTGCTCGCATTGCTTCAGCCTCTCCCAAATCTGCTACCATGTGAATAACCTCATTTATGGGCTGCCCTAAATCATGAGAAAGAATGGCCATTAAAGTTCCAAAGAGGGATGAAGGAGCCATTTGCAGCACCATATCCCTCATCCCTGCCATAAATAAGTCCTCATCCAGGCCATAGTTCCCAGACTTATGGGACCACCCCCACCCCCACCCCCTCATCCTTTTCTGATGCATCCTCTACCACTTCCAGAGTTAACAGCACCACTACCTCCTTCACCTCCCCACAGTACCTTGCAGCCTGCATTCTTGTGCTGTTTCTTCCCATGTTACGATTACATCCTTTACCATCTCCATAGCATCTCACAGTGATGCCACCTAAGTCATCAACAAATATTTTTACCTCCTCCACAACACCTTGCAGCCTGTGTTACTGTGCTACCTCTTCTCATGCTTCTTGCAGGAGTATGTCATTCTCCTTTATGGCCCTTTTAACTCTGTGAAGAATAGCAAACCATGGTTCCCACCGCCTTACAGAGCATTTTCTCTAAGGAATTCCCTGTTTTGCGAAGGCTGCCTCTACTGCCTTAGGCATCACCTCCATCTCCCCCAGTCCTGGGGAGGGGTCCAATCCTCTAGGAGGAAGGACCACATGCCCACTGGGGGATACCCAAGTGTCTTCACATCCACATGGACAGTCACTTAAGTACCCCTCCCAAGAGGGCCATTTATTTCCATTTTCAATCTGCAGCAAATCCTGCCAACTATGCCAATTGTCTTGCTTGGGGGAATTGCCCCTGGGCAAGTTCACTCTGGATATGGTGAGACCAAATAACAACAGAACATTAGGGGTAAGAGTTTACAGCCATCTTTATTTTCTTGGTAACAGGTCAAGTGCTAGGACCCTGTCCGCCTCAAGAGCAGTCTGCATGCGGCAAGCTGGTCTCTGCCCCTGGGCCTCTCCGCCATCTCACAGCCCCAGAGCACTGGGTGAAGTTCTTTATATAGAGTCAATAATAACATCTCACTGTCAACACGTGTGCAAGCCAGCACCTGTGAGCATTACCCATGTACAGTGGGCAAGCAGACCAAGGTCAGGAGAGGAACCCGGCCATAGGAACTTCCATTTTCTCTATATTACACTACCAACAAGAGGAATCAACACCCAAAGGTTTCAGTATATATTGTATCCATGATTCATTCAATTAATAAACATTTATTGACTGCCTACTAAGTGCAAGCACTGTGCACATGATCAGGTGGGACATTTAGAGGAAATGTATGAACCCTGTCCTCGAGGAGCTCACAGCTAGTGAGGTGATGATGCCAGGTGGAGCAGTGTTTGTTGGTTTCCTTCAGCTTTGTTTTTGTCAACTATAGGCACCAAATGAAAATGTGGATGAATAAAATCTCATTACCTTTGAGTGAAAGGAAAATTCTCATAATACTGAACTTAAAAATTTATGGTTACTATGTAATATTCATGGATAATACTGTAGCAGGAATAAATTTGTCTACAAATGCAAATGAGTAACAAATAGAAGTTTTTTCCTGTAACTGGGCTTTATTTCTATTTTAAGGCCCCACTGAGCTGCACTGATAATAATCTTATCAGTGAAGGCCACCCCCACCCCTCAGAGCTGCATCCAGGTTAGGGCATTCTGAAGTGCCAACATGAGAAGAAGGGGACATTGAGGTCCTTGCATTGCGGTTCCCCACAAGGATTGTTGGGTGTTCTTTGTTCACTCTGGTGTTTGGTTTTCAGTCTTACATTTCGTTGGGGACTAACCTGGCCCCTCCCATCATGGGGACTGCCTGGCTTGAGGATCTGTGATGCTCGGGATGCCCGTGGCTTCCTCCCTCTGCAATGCAGCAGAGATCTCTGTGATGTGGACATATTTGAAACATCACCCCAGAACTTGTTAGAGATGAAATTCTCCTCCAATCCCAACTTTCTACTTCAGAAACTGATTAAAACAGTCAACAGGCTGCAACTTCTCTGAGGCTCTCTTCTCCAAGACTCTGCCCAGGATGGAGTGGGGGCAGTTTCTCCTTCCCTTGGGATGGTGGTGTTAGACTCTTATTCTGCTTCCTTCTCTCTTAATCTTGATATTTTTCCCCTGCCCCAGAGGGTATTTCCTCTATCCTGAGATGTTTGCTTCCGAGGCATCTAGAATTATCTTAATGGATTTAGTTTTAAGCAGGAAAGTACTTTCAGTTTTAAACTGGGAAGTACTGGGAGGAAAAAAAAGCATAAATCTTACCTGCCACAAAACATTTTGAAGAACTTGAGGCTTCAGGTTAGGGGAATGGTCTAATCTTGGAGAAAACACAGGGTGAAAAAATACACCACGGACCTGTAACCACATTTTCAGACTCAGAAACTCAATTTTTCCCCCCACCTACACCACCATCCTACCACTTACCTCCTTTGATGATAGTCAATAATACAACAAACCTCCATGTAGACAATAGGGGAGTCACCTTATATACTTTAGCTCCAATCTCACAACCTGTGAGGGGGCTTTGTAATTTCTTTTTCACAGAGGAGGAGGCTAAAGTGGGGAGATGTGAAGTATTTATTCTAGGTGAGTGCTGGAGTCAGGGTCACAGTCCAAGTCTGAGCCACTCCAAAGCCTGCCTTTTTTCCAATTCTTTTTATGGATTCCTATGACTGAAAACTTTCTTAGAACCAGCCCAGCTATTAAACATTTGCTCTGTGCTAAACGGGTTATATAATCTCTACCCCTTTGATAATTCTTCACAGGTGTTAGCACAGCGTTTTTCTGATGAGAAGACTGAGACTGAGACTAAGACTTGAGTAACTCACCCAATGACTTGGTGCAGCAGAACAAAATTTGACGTGAGGTCTAGCCTTCAAGTACAGTCTCCAGGTTTGAAGGCAGCTGCTTTTGCCACTAAAACAATGTGACTTCCAGGAAAGGAAATGGGGATAATATACCAGTCACACTAATTTCACTGTTGTTATGAAAATCTGATTTTGCATATGGAATACCATGATGCCAATATCATTAACTTAATATACTGAACTCTAAAATTAGGACATCCAAAGACCTGCTTCATCTTGTTGTAAAACTCTGTTCAGTTTTGGGCAACATTTAATCTCTTTCAGATCAGCTTTCTCAGAACTAAAACGAAAGAACTGGACTTTTACATTTCCATCCAGCTCTGAAATTCAATTTCTAGATAAAAGTATCATACACATAAATGATCAAGAAAAATTGTAGAACACCTCTCAGAATTATCTTGTCTTTTTAATTTAGTAGCTCACTTATTTTCCAATACTCTTTTAAGGTTTATTTTTTGGCATCCTCAGAGATGTTCCTATTTTTGTAGACACTGCACTAATTTCCAGTAAAATCATACATCATAGAGGATGCAAACAATAAGAATGTGTAATATGTCTGCAAGTTTAAGTTTTAAATGTGTAAGATATTTCGGTATGTACATCTCTTCCACAAAAGATGAAACAGAAGTGGAAAAGACTTCTTAGTAATTACTAAGGGTTAGATCACAATTGACACCTACAATTTAAACGATTTGTTTAAACGGAAACTGATACTTCATTGTAGTTTTAAGTGCAGAGCTAATGTCCTTCAGTGATGCTAGTTCCTCATTCTCTGATCTTGGACAAATCACCCTATGCCTCAGTTTCCTCACCTGAAAAATAACATTCTAGTAACATATATTTAATAGGGCTGCTTTGAGGAGTAAGGGTATCCACATAAAAGGCAATACCTGCTACACAGTAACTATCTAACGAACGTTTAACTATTGTCACCGGCGTTTCTCAGTTGGTTATTATTTTCATATGTAGACAGATGAATTCGGATTATTTCAGGAAACAGTATTTGAGTGCCTACACGTACGAGGCCCTGGGGTTACCAAGGATTCAAGTCTCTGGCCTTGGTGAAGCAGGACTGGAAGACAAACGAACAGGTTAAAAAAAGAAAACCAAGAGAATCTCATATGTGACAAGTGCCACATTTCGTGTAAGTGTATCTGCCTTTGCCGCCTTTGTCCCGCGAGGCTGCCCGAGGAATCCCTTTGGCCTCTGCCATTTAACGTCACAGGAAGCGCGACCAATCGTGCCCTGCTCCGGGAACTAAGCTGTTCCCTCTCTTCCTGCAAGACTTGAAATGCCAACCCTTTCTTTGCAAACGTCCTTCCGTCTTCCGTAGCTTTCGCTCCTGGAGCACTCCTCTGGGAAGGCCAGCCACGCAGCTCTGCAGGCCGCGAAAAGCTTCGCAAGGCGCGCCCGGAGTGACGACTCGTACGTCACTTCCGGGACGCCTCTTCGCTGAGCCTTGTGGGTAGCGGGCCGGGGTCTCCTGGCGACGACGATGGCGGGGGATGTGGGCGGCCGTAGCTGCACTGATTCAGAGCTGCTGCTGCACCCGGAGCTGCTGTCCCAGGAGTTCCTTCTCCTCACCCTCGAGCAGGTGGGCGCGCATGGGAGAGGCGCCGGGACTTGGGCTCGCCCGAGTAGTCCTCAGCGTCCCGCCGGGTGTGCGCCGCTGTCCAGCCCTCACTGACAGAGCGGGTCTCCCCACGCCCCTACCCAGGAAAGAGACGTCCTTAGAATACCAGCAGTTCCTCGGGATTAGAATTTACCTTTTGGGGTCCTTAATGGCTCGGCGAGAGGAGACCCCTGCGGCCTGTGTGTGAGCAGGGGCCTAAGGAAGAGGAGCCGGTGACGAATTGTGGAAGAGCGGAGCTGAAGGGTAGTGACCAAGGACTGTTAGGGCTAGAAAGCATCGGAGAGGTCGCCCTTTCTCCACACTTTCACCACCTTTAAAGAGGAGGAAACTTGAGTCCCAGAGAGGTGAAGTGACTTACTTAGGGCCATACCATCAGTAAATGTTGCAGCCAGGAGAATTCAGGGCTCCTGGCCCTCATTATAGTTTGTTATTTTTCAGCCAATGCGGCCTCTGGTAGTAGATGGAAAAGAAGCCCTCCCCCACCCCTAAAAAAAAGTGATAAATTTAAAGTGGTAGAGAATTACTAAACGTTTCCTTAGGGTTTTATATAGCATATTTTGTTATTTTCCTTGTAGTTTGCTCTCAGTACTCTTTCCCAAATGTCCTCAAGTACCCGTTCCTAAGAGGATTATGTTAGTGATGCCACTTACCTTTCGTTTGTGGGTCCCAGAGTTTCTGATGCAGTAGGTCTGGGGTGTGGCATGGAGATTTGCATTTTTAACAAGTTCTTGCTGCTGGTCCAAGGACCACAGTTTGAGAACAATGGAGCAGTACTTCTCAAGCTAAAGTGCCTGTGAACTCTCTGGCAATGTTGTCCAAGAGAATCCCCAGTTTCCCCATATCTCTGAGTAAATACAGGATGAAAATTGATAATAAAGGACAGTCTAGTGTAAGTATGAAAAGAAATAAATTTGTGCTTTAAATTTTGAGGGGAAAAAAGGAATTGGGATAACTTTCTCAGAGGACATAGATTGCATTTGTTTTGTCAGTTCTAAGCCAAGTGTTTCCAGGCCTTTCTGTATTGCAGCCGAAGAGCCCATGACTCATTCATCCTCATTTTCTTTCCTAAATCCAAACTTTGTTTCCATAAATACTACTGTACCTTATCCTAAATGTTTTCCATGATGTAGAGAACAGATTGGAAAGTGAGGTAATTTAGATAGGGATGGTTGGACAATGATGAAGCCACTTGAAAGGACTGGTAAAAACATGTGGGGCAGGTTCTAACGATGTACTGTTACCAGTACTATCATCAGTGAGGGGACTGCAGCATCCATCTGTAGAGCCCTTCAAAATCTTGATAGTTAACTTCAATTTAAGCACTATTACAAAAACATGGGAAATAATATACAGGGTGAGATCTCCAGTCCACCAATCCTATCATAATAGTAATACTCTAGATAACTTCTTGACAGAATGTAGCAAGTGTTACCATCGTTAGCCTTTTGTCCACTGTCCCAGTCAGTCCTCCACTTCAGTTCCCTTCATAGATGACAATGCTGTGGCTGAAAGTGGATGGTTTTCATGCCTGGTATGTTGGCCAAGCAGTTGGGGTCAGAAGTCCTTGTCACACTGAGGACATACACCCATTGTCTAAAATGAAGCTGAACTCCATTGGCAGAGCTTAACCTATTTATAGTACTGCTTCTTGCAGTACCATACAGGACTCTTAAGCATATATGTAATTGTAAACATGGCTTCATAATTTGTTATTTAAGTTGGAATATTTTATTGTGTTAGGTAGGTAGTTGGTTATTAAAATAAAGGATATTGTTTTGAAATTACTTTTGTTTCCTTTTCCACAGAAGAACATAGCTATTGACAATGACATAAGAATAAACAAAGACAATCTTACTGATCTTTATGTTCAGCATGCAATACCATTGCCTCAGAGAGATTTACCAAAGAATAGATGGGGGAAAATGATGGAAAAGAAAAGAGAACATGAGATGAAAAATGAGACTAAAAGGTACTTTTCAATGGTTCTAGTTTTCTTCTTCTTTTATATGACTAAATAATTTTGCTTTTTTTTTCCCCAGGTAAACTTAGGTAAGAAAAATTCATTTACTCAACAACTATTTATTGTGCATCAGGCACTGTGTTTATAGCATGAATAAAACTGACAAAATTCCCTGCTCATATTTTAATTGGGGGGAAAATAATTGAAATGTTGAATAAAATATATGGTATGCTGCATAGTGATAAATGCCAAGTAGAAAAGTAAAACAGGAAGAGGGATTACAATTTTAAGTAAAGTGGCCAGGAACAGCCTCACTGAGAAATGATACTGTAGCAAGCTATCATTCCAGGCAGAATACAAGAGCCTGGGTGGAGAGCATGCCCATCATATACCAGCAACAACAAAGAGTCCAGCAGGACTGGGGCAGAGAGAATGAAGGGAGAAGAGGGAAAAGAGGTTTATTGGGGGTGAGAAGCAGACATTGTCAGGTGATGGGAAGCTTTGTAAGTCATTGTAAGAACTTTGGTTTTGCTCTGAAGCAATAAGCCATTGGAAGATTTTGAGTAGAGTGATGGCACTATGTGATGTACCTCTTAACAGGGTCACTCTGGCTACTTTACTGAGAGGTGATTTAAGGTGGTGGGGAGGGGAACAGCCTTTCCAATTAGGAGGCTAGGTGTGCTAATCCAGGCACTAGGCAGTATTGACTTTTATTGAGATAATGAACTTGTCATGAAGTGGTTGGGGTCTGGATGTATTTTGGTGGTAGAGCCAACAAGAATTGCCAAATTGTGAGAAAGAAGTCAAGTAAGACTCTAAGGTCTTTGAATAATGTAGAAATGAAGAGACTGTTGTATAGCTTCAGGTACACTATTTAAAAGTTTTAGATTTCAGACAATTTTTCCTACAACTACCTGCAAATGAATAAATTTTTTTAAACCAAGTTACATTTACTTGATCAGTGTAGTTGGTTAATGAGGACACTAACCAAAGATCCGGGCTAGTTTTTTTCCTGTTTTATCATAAGTGGGTGCTGTTGATTAGAGCTCTCTTTGTAAGGTACTGTGGGAGGCAGTGCACTAGAGACAGTGGGAGGAGATGGAGTGAGAGGGTGGGGTGAGGGAGAATGCTAGCTTTGAGTTGATTAGTGGTTTCATATTGACTCAGGAAAAAAACCTCATGATTGATAGGTTAATCCCCACATATGAGGACAGTTGAAGTGTACAACATGTGTGTCACTGTCTTTTGGAATGCAAATTCTGGTGCTGTCTCACTTTTGATCAGGAACACATTCAGTTCAGATTTAGCTTCATTTTAGCCTGATGGTAACATACAGGCTGCATATTAGTGTTAACTTTCATAAATCTATCCATTATACCATATATATCTTTAGTTTACTTTGACTCTTATTAAGAGAATTACTTTCCATCCTCAAGAAAAACGAAAACAGGCAGGTCCAACTGCCAACCGAGACCCCAAGGCATTATGGGAGTCCCAGTGTGCGTGCCCTAATTGAGGCACTTTGTCCTAAGAAAGCTTTCAATACAGTTGTACTTTACTTCATACAACAATCCATCATAGTACCTCAGTGTGATCTTGGAAAGGCTCTTTGACTGTATTTAAAAAAAAAAAAATCACAATTTGACTCTTGAATCAGAGCACTAAAGTTGGAAGGATCTAAGAGATTATTGGATTTTGTTCAATTGCTGATTATTTTTGTCTGCTGAAGAACTGAGCCCCAGAGAAGTGTTGTGTCATGCCCCAGCTCAAACTGAGCCCCAGAGAAGTGTTGTGTCATGCCCCAGCTCACACAGCGCTAAAGCCAGGTCTTTCATGCAGTACTTCTCAAACTCCTGTGCCTCTTGCATCTAGATTGAACTCTCACAAGCTAAGAAGCTCTGTTCTCAGTCCCTGTTTCCCTTCTACAGTGGCAGGGGGGGTACACTAAGTTGCTTTTTCATCTTCTGCCAAACAGTGTTCATTCACCCAAGAACTGGTGAGTTTGGCCAGTCACCTAGGATCTGGTTAAAATGCACATTCTGAATCAGTGCAGGTTGAAACCCTGAACTCTGCATTTCTTACCGGCTCCCAAGATGATGCTTATGCTGCTGGTCCCTGGGCCACACTTTGAGTAGCAAGGCTGAAGTGTTCTTGCCAATAATTGGCTGCTCATGTTCTTTTAACATGTTTAAGTAAAGGTTTTTTTCATAAGCAAATCTCTCATTTCATTTGAGGTGTAATGAACAGATGAATGCTTTTATTATTTATCTTTACAATTCAGAGTGAAAATTAGGTTTTCAGAAGCTAAATATGAAGACTTGCCAAAATTTAAAGTAAAATTATACAAATGTTACAGTTAGTCTAGAAACTGCCTTGGCTTTAGAGACTTTGCATGAAACAGTGTTGTCTCATTGTAGATTGCCATTATGCTAGTCTTGGGATGTTTTTATAGTTCAATAAACTAAACAGTAGTTTCTAATGTCATATTCTAATCAAGTTCTAAGTAGTAATTGATCCCTGGTCAAGATAGCCCTATCAGTAAGGTGGTGATTTTTAAAATTAAAAAATAAAATTTTGTTAGTAGAAAATTCTGTTTTAAGTACTTGGGTTAGTTGGATGATCAATGTTTTAAACATCCCTCTATCTTGTATGTGCATTAAAACTTACTTTAAATTTCTTGTCAATAAATATTTTAAACTTTAAAGAACTAGACAATTATTTCACTTAGAATGGACATAGAAACGTTATTTCTAGTATCCGTACTTACAATAGATTAGTCTTATCAATAATCTTCCCATCACTGTTTTAACTTTGGATTCCATGAACTGTTGCATCCCAGAGTATTTTTCATGAGTACCTGTCTTTATTTTCAGGAGTAGCACTGTAGATGGGTTAAGGAAGAGACCCCCCATTGTGTTTGATGGAAGTTCAACAAGTACAAGCATAAAAGTGAGGAAGACAGAGAATGGAGATAATGATCGACTCAGGCCACCCCCTCAGGCAAGCTTTACCAGTAATGCCTTTCGAAAATTGTCAGATTCCTCTTCAAGTGTTTCACGCCTAATTTTGTCTTCCAATTTGCCTGCGAACAATAAAACGGAACACAATAATAATGACACTAAACAGAACCATGACTTAACGCATAGGAAAAGTCCTTCGGGTGCCGTGAAGTCTCCACCTCTGTCCCCTGTTGGAACTACTCCGGTGAAGTTAAAGCGAGCTGCTCCTAAGGAAGAAGCTGAGGCCGTGGTAAGTATGAGGTCTCCATGCTCATAGGAGGTGTGAACGAAATTTCTGGGCAGTTGGCCTCGCAGCTAAAATGGGGTCAGCAGTGCTCCATCTGTTCTTGAACCCTTAAGTGACCTCTTATTTTTACATTTCATTTCTCATGTGTTGAACCCTAGAATCTTAAAATCTCTGACGATAAGCTAATGTTTTTTAAAGCACACTCTCCTTCGCTAAAAATGTGTATAAAGAGAGAGTTTCTCGGGCACTTTTCCTTGATTTTTCTCATTTAGATCCTTTAACTATCTTGGAACTAAAAGAAAGAAATGTTCCTTTGTTAAGGCTCAGAATGTGAAGTGATTTGTCCACGGTCACATGTTTATTAAATAGCATTTTAGAGCTTGACCCTAAGTGTCTTTTGCATTTACCTTAAAACTGCCCCAGAGTCTTTAGGATTTACCACTTGCTTCCCCTGCTCCCAAATGTACCTGTCTTTGGAGGGACAGAGGAAGTTTAGGGGATCTGCTGTGCTCTGCTCCACTTAAGTGTTTGGATACTCAGGTTTCCTATGCTGTCATACTTGGGACAGTTACAGGAGTTATTTAAAGTTTAATTTACAAGGTGACATAACATATTTGGTCCTTTCCTAGGCTTTTCAGAAAAGTGATTTCACGTTTAAATACTTAGCAGTTCTATAGCTTTTATTCCCTGTCGGCTTAGCCATTCAGGCTGCTTTAACAAAAAACACCTTTGACTGGATAGCTCAAACAATGAACAATTTATTTCTTATAGTTCTGGAGGCTGGGAAGTCCCAAATCAAGGAGGTAACAGATTTAGTGTCTGGTGAGGGCCCATTTCTTGGTTCATATTTGGCTGTGTCCCACTGTATATATAGCAGAAGGGTCTTGGGCACGCTCTGGGGTCTCCTTTATAAGGACTCTAATCCTATTCATGAGGGCTCCACCCGCCTAACCTAATCCTCTCCCAAAGGCCCTAGCCCACTACCATCACACTGGGGACTGGGTTTCAACATAAGGATTTTGAGGGGACACAAACATTGGGTCCATAGCAGTCCTGTAGTACGTTGGCCTTATTGTCATCTTTTGTGTGCCAACAGGATCAAAACTGAAGAGTAGCTCAAACATTCTTAGATAGACCCTAGGAAAAGAATGCTGTGTATCTGACCAGCCCTAAGTTCTATATCGGTTCACTGAATCCTTTCAGCAACCCTATGAAATAGGCATGATAGTTACTCCCATTGCACAGATGAGGAAATAGTACCTTAGACATTTTAAGTAAATTTGTCCAGGGTTCTAGAGTTAGTAAGTGGCAGTTTGAGTTCAGATTTGTTTGACCCCACAGCATGCACTTGTTATGGCACCATACTGCCTGCGTGCTTTAGTCCCTTTTGTGCAAGAGGTGGAGGGCATCAGATGACAGTGGAAAGAATGGTCCACACCTCACAACTTCCCAGCTTTCAGAACTATAAGAAATGCTGCAGTAAGGGGTAAGCCTTGAGGATTTTTTTCATTCCCTTAAAAAGCATCTTTCTACTAAAAAATGTTACTTTTTTAGAGATGTGGTTTTTAAAACTTGTATTAAGATCTTGCGGTTAAGGGAGGATATGGGCTAGGTAGGGAGGAAGCAGGTCGGAAGCAGTCAGTGGTTCTACTCCTTAAGTTCACCTGGAGGAGTTCCCAGCAAGCACAGACAGAAGTCAGAGTCTCGTCCCCACCACCTCCTGTGCACTGAGTTGGTTTGCCCAGGCACGGGCACGTTGGTGGGAGGTCTGATGCTGACATGCACATGCTTGAGAACCACAGCCAGAGAAATGGGAGCCTGGTTGGCTTTTTGTCCCCATCTAAAACCTTTCCCCATCAGGTGGCAGCAGTTATCTACTGGTCATGTATTAGTAAACCCAGGCTGTTTAAATAAAGTGCCCATTTTGGTTACTCTGACATCTCTGCAAGTATAAGCTGGTTTCTGTTCATGTCTTTTCAGAATAACTTGAAGCCCCCAGAAACAAAGAGGAAGATACAACATGTTACATGGCCGTGAAGGAAAGTTTCCAAAAATGTAAATATAATTGTAATTGTAGTTTTTCATATATATTGACAGTTTTCACATATATTGACAGTATTTACAGAGATCCTTATTATTGTGGGATTTTCTTAGGAAGTTTAAAATTAGGTTCAAATAAGGTCTTTCCTTTCTTTCTTATCCCTTTCACCCCCACTTTTTTCCCTTAAACTCTTAAACTCTTGCCTTTTGTGCCCTGTTTAAGAGAATTTCTCTTTTAACAAATTGCTTAGAATAAATCATTTATATTGACCCTCATCAGATAATTAGCTGCGAAGTCTGGTATAAGGCATCCAGTGAATTTTAGGAATTCTTCTTATTAGTCTGTTTCAGTCTTTGGGGAAATCTGAGATTTTTTTTTTAATTCAAGTATTTTAGAAGTTCACAATTTTTATTTCTTTTCCTAAGCAAAAGAATATTGCATTTCATCACAATATTTTAGTAAATATTGCCAAACTCATCCTCAAGGTTTACCAAGAAAAGTATATTTGTAGTGCTGCCAATAAACTCTTCAAAATGTACAGATAAAACTGCTGCTCATCAAGCACGACACTACTTCCCATAAAATCCAAAGGGACATCAGTGCTCGCTGTTGCTCCTGCCCTTGAAGTCACAGCAGGATTGGCTGAGGCTGAGTCGGCTGCTCAGTCCCGCATCTAGTCTACTCCTAGAAAGTCCTCTCATGCAGCAATCCCACCAACTCCTCATGAGTGGCCTGTGATCTCACTCCTTCCTAGGCACTCAGTCATTTCCAAATGAATCTGATTTAAAAATCTTCTGGTGAAGTAATCATGTTAGAAGTGGTACCTGACAGCCAAAAGTTTAGAGAAAAAGAGGCAGCTAGAATTCTAGAACTTAAGGGAGTCCAGCAAGTATAGCTGTGAGGGGGAACTTCAGTGTGATGTGGAGGAGGCAGAAGGAATGACTGAAGTGAAGTCAGAAGTCACTGTGGAGTGACAGCATAGGAGATGTGCATCAGCCAGAGAGGGCACCCTGCTGGTGCAATGTGGACAGCTTTCCACAGGGCTGTCCCCCACAAAAGTGTCTGTAAGGTTTTGTGTTTGTGCTAAAGTGGGTTATTATCCCAATTGTATAAGGGAAGTCAGTGGGAAAATAGGATATACCTTATATTCCTGAGTTCTAGTGTCTGCTTTTCTGCTGTGTTTTTTTAAGCAAGAGCTAAGGATACTTTGTACTTTTTCCCTTGTATGATCTTCAAATTGGGGTTTGCCTTTTCAATACTTTTTAGAGCAATCTCATTCCTCTTTTGGTTTGTGAAAACAAGCATCTTAGTTCAGCTATTGAGTAGCCTTACAGAAAATTAACTCAGCCTTGCAGGTGAGTACTGTATGAGAACTGTAACCCTACAGTTCTTAGCCATTTTGCCTTTATCCAGACTACACATCTGTACAGATAAGACAAAATTGATACATACTAAGTGTTGTATAAGTTGTTAATGTTATGGAAAATTGTTGACTATACAGTTATCTGCAGGCCTGATATAAGTAATACTGTTTAAGGCCAACCGTAACTCTATACATAACTATGTTAAGGGAGACTCAAAGTGCAGATTTTAGGGTAGGATGACAAATTATATTTTATATTCAGTTGTTCCTTCTGCTTCCATCTGTGTTTCTCTCTTAGTTAAGAGAGAGTTAGCCATTTGACAGTTTTAAGTCAGTGGAAACTTATTTTTAGTTACTCAGAATTAATTCTTAATTTGTATATTTAACTTACAGAGTAGGTTGGTAATAACAGCTGAACTGTGTAACACTGTTGCTTCAAATTGAAGTTTATATTATGAACATTCAGAATCAGTGCTCATAGAGCAGCATATTATTGAGCTATTTTGAGTTTGAAATGTGAAGAGCTAAACCCGTACTATGTATTACATGATACCAACACTTGAGCACTCTGCACCTTCTCAAGGTGTATAGAGATGGCTTGTCCTGCAGTGTCTTTCTCCATGCCATAAAGCCCTATGAACCTTGGGCATCTGAAGCAAAGTGCTAGGACACTCAACGTTTTGAAGTGTTCATTTGTCTTAGAAGGACTTGATTTGATGGCAAACAATTTTGGAATACTCTTTACTCACTAACATGGCTTAATATTGTTGCTCTTGATTGCATATTCCCGTAGAGCCAGGTTTTCTTCTTATTGGGGTAGGCATAGGAGAGGCATTCGAGGCCATGGGTGGCTTCTGCAGAGTAGTGATAGGCACTTTACCACTTCCTGCTATGGGTAGGGGTCTTGTTCTTTCTTGCTCTCCCTCTTTGTTTCCTGTTTCCCTTTTTCTTACTGTTCTTTCCCATATTTTTACTTTCTTTGCTTCCATTCTCCTTGCTTCTTTATGTAGATCCTAAGCTTCAGGCTTAGGCTTGCAAGTCATTTTGTTGGCCCTGTTCATTCAGTGAGGAGTGAAGATAGGCTGGCCCCAACCCTCTTCTTACCTTTGAGGAGTTGTAGATGGCTGTGTGAGTTCTGGAAAGTCTTATGACCCTGCAGCCCCAGGGCACTAAATTGCTCCCAGTGGCTGTAATGGCAGTACAGTTTACCAAAATAGCTTTATTAATCTAGACAGCTACCAGGCACTTTGGAAAGTTGGTTCAACTACAACTATGAGGCCATAATATTTTTGCTAGTGTTAAAATTCTTCAGAATTGTAATTATTATTTGAAATAATATTTTGATTGACTTAAGTTTTGAGAGGTGATTCTAAAACTGATCTAGAGACTCATTCAATAGCAATGACCTTTTTAAAACTTACATTAAGTAAAACTGCCAGTAGATTAAATCATATGTATGTAAAAGCTTCCTCTATTTACTACTGTGGAACTTCAGTAATTTTTAGGGGCTACATAATGGTCAAAATGTTTTTAAGTGTGCTCTTTTATTAAATGCCTGTGCAGGTTTTATAATTCATTACAGAGAGTTTAACCTTGTAATGTACATTTTGTAATGTAAAAAGTCTTTTAAGTAGCCTTATGCTTTATTTAAATAAACAATAAAATTACTGAGTAGGTCTGTCATTCATAAAAAATAAAATGGAAAAACATTGTAATGACTTGATCTTTTTATTCGACCAAACTATATAAAAAAGTGTTCTTTATAGCACCACCTCCTGTACCTGGGTTGATTGGGATCAGGCATGGTACCAACAGTCCAGCCATACCTTGGGGCCCCAGCTTTAAGGTGGCCTGCTGTTCAGGATGTCCTGGTGCTACAGGGCTGACACACTGCCCCTGTGATTTGAGGATGGGAATAAGTGCCCCGATCCTTCTCCAGTTAAGCTTAGTGAACTGGAACAATCCAGATATTCAGTTGAGGGACTGTGTTTAGGGCTGTCTTTAAAAAGTTAATTTCTAAATTGGTAACTTAATGTTGGAGACTGAAGCTCTAAATTAACTAACTTGGAAAAGCCCCAGGTAACTTTCTACCTTGAACTTTAAAAGGCAGATCTTTAATTTTTTTGTCTGGACAGAAGAGACAAAAAGTCTTATTTCTGTTTACATTATTTTTACTAACATGCTTTTTCTCACTGAAGTTCTCTGATCTGTCAGTTGGTAAGAGGTTGTCTTCTCTGTTGTGACAGAAAAAAATAAAGATGTGAATTAATTAAGGTCCTGCTTAATGAAATAATGAATAATTGTAAGGACAGAAGGAAAATCAGACCATTTCATGAAGTAGTGAGGGACAGGGAAGGTAAGGCAAGGAGCTACTTTAAGTATAGTGGTTAGGAAAGCCCTCTTTAAAGAGATTCAGTTACCGAAGCTTTCAGGAAAAGCATCTTACATGCGGTAGATTTTTAATGGCTATGTAGTATTAGTTGCTTCATTTATCAAAGGTGGAATCTGTTTCCCACCACTCAAATATGGACAGGCTGAAAAAATTCTGTTCTCCTGGCGGCTGCTGCAGCCATGTGAAAAAGCCTTGCTAGTGAAACAGCCCTGGCCAACAGCACCGACCACCAGATGTGAATGTTAGTCACCTGTCCCCAGCCTAGCCTCCAGGGGCCCGGGTGAGGCCAGCCCGGAGATCTGGTTCACAGGCCTTGAGAAGACAGCAGGGGAGTTGGAAGCTAGTGTTGGAGATGGTTTGCTACCCAGCACTAGATAACTGATAGCAGACAAGGGCAGAGTGGAATCCCTGAGGCGTCATTAGATTGGAGACCAGGAAGACTGGTGTGGCTCAAATCAGTGAAAATAGATGAGGGTAGTGTGAAGTGAGTCAGAGAAGGTAGGCAGGAGCCAGATTCTGTTCTAAGAGCAATTGGAAGCTCTTTGTTAGCTATTCAGCCTTAACTAAGTATTTGGTTTAATCAAAACACAGAAATAAGACTAGTTAAATAAGTACATAGTACCCCTAAACATTTTTTCCCCTCCGGTACAATCATTGTAAGTTTTTGTTTTGTTTTTTAGCCTATTTGAACTAAAATATTTATATTTCTTTGACTAATATTAAATCTTAGGCCTGACTGTAAAATACCAGTAAATGGTAATGGGTATTTTTCTTAAATATAAAAACACCATATCTAGTAAAATTGTTGGTCTGTCCTGCTCTGCTACATACGATTCACCTCGTTTTATTATATTTTATCACACCTGCAGATACTGCTTTTTCTGCAAATTGAAGGTTTGTGGCAACCCGGTGTTGAGCAAGTCTATTGGCACCATTTTCCCAACAGCATTTGCTCACTTCATGTCTCCTTGTCACATTTTGGTAATTCTCAACAATATTTCAAATGTTTTCATTTTTTGTTACAGCGATCTGTGATCAGTGATTGTGACTTGCTGAAACCTCAGATGATGATGGTTAACAGTTTTTAGCAATAAAGTACTTTTAATTATGGTATGTACTTTTTATTTAAGACAATACTATGCTCACTTAATAGACTATGGTATGTGTAAACATAACTTTTATATGTACTGGGAAAACCAAAAAATTCATTGACTAGCTTTGTTGCAATATTTATTTTACTGCAATGGTCTGGAACCACACTATCTCCCAGGTATGCCTGTAATTTTTAAAAATAAACTTTAAAAAAATAACATTTTTATTTAGGGAAGTTTCAGATTTATAGAAAAGTTGCTAACGTAGTATAGGGGGTTTACATATACTGTGTACTCAGTTTTCCCCTATTAATATGTTAGCATGGTACATTTGTTGAAATGAACCAATATTGATATATTATTGTTAGCTAAAGTTCATAACCTTATTCAGATTTCTTTAGTTTTTACCTAATGTTTTTTTTCTGTCCCAGGATCCCATCCCATTAACATGACATCATTTTTGAGGTTAATTTTAGTCACCTGGCTGAGGTTTAAATAGGTTAATACAGAATTGCTGTCTGGGGGGAAGTCAGTTAAGCAGTAGGGAGTTAGGTCCACCTTGTAGGCCAAGCATCTACATAAAATACTTTGGATTCTGTATAGCTTTGCCTTCTCTCCCCTATTTTACTTGTTTATGTAATAATTTAACTCTGTGTGGACTCCATTTGAGTTTGGGTTAAATCTAATGCTTTCATTCTGTTCTTTTGCTCAAATTGTAGCTTTGGCCATTGAAAACCTTTAGTTGGCTCCTGGGTCCCTTTAATTCAGCTAACCATTTTGTTCTCTTTTGAGCACTTCCTTTCTTTCTGGCACTGCAAGATGCTCCAGGTTCATGTTGTCTATTTCTTGCCCCAGACCTCGACTCAGCCATTTCTCCAAGGAACCTTGGTTCGTTGTAGTGAAGAATGGGATTAGAAAGTAAGGTCTGGGCACTGGTATCATTGCTTTTAGGCATCCTCAGCTGACAGAGCAAGGAGACGTGTGTATAGTGACCCCATATACATACATACATACCTGTAAATATTTCTGTACATAACTATAGAGAGCTAAATGTGGGTTCATACTGATGTCTCCAACTAATTCCTTACCATATGGGTCATTCTAGACTTGCCTTGCTCACCTGTAACCTGACACCACAGTAGTGAGAAGCCTGGCTCCCACCATCCACTTACCTATTCCATTCCAGTACACATGTATAGCAGTTGCAGAATTGTTACTCTCTACCTGTGTGGGAAACAGCTCTTCTCAGCTAGAGTACAGTGATTGTGTATGATTCCTTTGCCTTTGTTTTTATAGACCGCTCATTTCCAGTGTTAATTTATCCAGGTCACTTAAAAACTATGTTTGTGGTTTTATTATTTTAATGAAAAATAATGTCATTAACTTTTTTCTATTTTCTTAATAAAAAAAAAGAAACTCTGAACAAACATTCATTTAACAGGTGTTTACTGTATTTTCAGACTCTATACAAGGAGTGGGAATAATAAGACATGGGCCCTGTCTTCAAGAGGCTTATCCTTTTATTAATCCCAATTGATTCAGTCTGAACATTCAAATAATTTGAGAAGGAATCTGAGAAGCATTTAGTAATTAAAGTCACAGTATTCTGTGCACTAGATAGTTTACTAGTTCTGTTTTTAATTCCTTGAAGCCTGAGAGAAACAACCAAAAACAAACAGGGAATATTTTTTGTTTTTTTTTTACCACTGGTGTAGAGACTCATTCTTATAATCAGCCCTGCCCTTTTGCTTAGAAATACCATTTTCTGCACCCCAGCAACGTGGTTAAGCCTTTTCCAAAGCCTTTGATTTTTCATTGCACAATTCAGTCCACTCCAGAGTATTTTGCCTCAAGGAAAGGAACATGTAGGCACTATTGTTTCTAGGTATTACCATGTACACCAGCCTGATGAGTTAAAAAAAAATGTTTATTGATCTATGAAAAGTTAAAAACAAGACAAAACCTGACACCATTTGCTAATATTTTTCCCTGTAACATCAGTCTAAAAAAAACCCTGCAACACTATTGCTAGTGTTCATTTTCCAAAAATATGAGAAAATCCACAGAATCCTTAGACTCACATGAGCAAAAATCTGGTCATCTAGATGCTACCTCTCCCTGCCTCCCACCCCTTTCCTGCAAACCATTGTGGGCTTTCTGGAGGAAGCAGCTCCTTCAGCTGGTTGCTCCTGATTGAATATGGGGGCTGGGCAGCTTTCCTGTTTCAACAGGGATCTTAAGTTTCCCACTTTAACATATACCCACTTTTGTTCTCTTTTCAGAAAGCAAGGAGCCATAGTTTAAAGTCAGCAGAAGTGGCAAACATTGGATGAGTTGGCTGTTTATTTTTTTTAATTAAAAAACAAATCAAGCTAGTGATTGGCACTGGCCCTCCCCCAGACCCCTCATGAGACCTCCAGACCCCAAGCCCTTTAGGTCAGAATTTTGAGTGTAACCACAACAAGGAATACTCCTTTTGGTACCAAATATATATATACATATATATATATATGGTGTATATATATATGTGTGTGTGTGTGTGTGTATATATATATATATATATATGCAAAACTCTAAAGAAGAGGACAGACCAGCCACTTCTATCCATTACAGAGGTAAACAGAAAGACGTGACAGGGTGAAAACACCCATTCCACATACACTGTGATGCAGCTCAGGTAAGAAGCCCTGTAGCATAAAGAACCGAGGAGTCCCAGGTCAGATGTGTGGCTGATGCCCGGCCACACCCACACTGCAGCAGATCAGGTATTACTTTCATTATTGGGAAACATGATGACCAGCCCTTAGCATTGGCCCATCCAGCTCTTCAGTGAAGCTGTCCACCTGCACGTGAGTGCACACACGCTCACATGCACACACACACACACACCTGCCCTTCTGAACATGGACCGCTTGGAGTCATAAACACCGAGAAAAACAACACAGCAAGAAGGCAACGTGACTGGGAGGAACGTGTTTGCTGATACACACTTTGGGATTTAAGTAGCTGGTAAACAGGCACTGACAGGATTTGGAAAACTGGCTGCTGTGGATGCTAGGTCAGCCCAGACACACCTTCATCCAACAATGGAAGCCAGGGTCACCCCAAGGGCTTGGTGGGGGTGCTGTTGGGTGGTGTCTTGCCAATGGATTTCAGCCCCAGGCAAGATCGCTATGGATTCAAT